CACTAGGATGTTAGTGTGTTCTTCACACTTCAACATCTGTTCAGAACAACTCTGATGGATCCCGTCTTCACCACACACTCCACCTGCAGTCCTGTCCATTTCAGGAACGGGAACTCTTGTCCTGTGGCTGAGGCCATACGTCCCTAACGGATGTATTTGACTCTTTCTACCAAATACTTGAATTTCCAAAAGAATCTGGAAAACTGGACTTAATGTGAAATTCCTTATTTTATTTATTCATTCATTTATTTTGCAATGCTGGGGGTCATTCCCTAATTTTTAGACACTGACAATTGAGTTTTTAAAAAAAGACAGAAAATTCTGTGTAGCAGAAACAAAACACAGCCAAAGGTCTGAGACCTCTGAGGAAGGTCTGTCTCCTGTCCTGACCCCTGGCTCCCTCACAAGCTCCCTGGCCTGCTGCGACGGCATTACAAAGCCACATTTCTGCCGTGAGGTCTCCCTCCTGGTGCTGTTTGTGTAGACAGACCATTCTATCCAAGCAGCTAAAGGCTGGGTTGGGGTTCGGGGTGCAGCTCAGTGGTCGAGAGCTTGCTTAGCAGGTATAAGGCCTTGTGGATGAATTCCTGGCATTGCTAAAACAAATAAATAAGACACCCCCCCCCAACCAGGCAAAGGCTGGGCTGGGTCTGCCATAGCTTCTTCATCAGTGATGAGGACTCCGGTTGAGTAGCAGAGTGGGCAGCAGTGAGATCCAGACAGGTCACCTAACAGAGGCAAGACTTAGAGATGAGGGCAGAATGACTGCACTGAGAAATGAGCACCTGGGCTCCCACAGGGATGGCTGACACCCAGAAAAGAGCGAGAGGACTGCACAGCTGCCCCTCGGTTCTCCCTCAGCCTCCCCCAAGGTGGGCTGTGATGTCCAGCAGCCTGTGTGGCTTGGCTGGTGCTCAGTGCATTAGCCATGAGCGTCCTCGGCTCACCTGAGGTGCCGTGAGTCCAAGTGTGGCGCACCTGTGCCCACCCCAGCTCACCAAGTGATGAATGGTGCTGGACCAAAAGTGGTGCACACTATAACAGCTGTAGGGTTTAGGATCAAGATGTAGCATTGCCAAAAGAAAGGAAGATAGAAAAAAATGAGACCTTCAGCGAGAAAAGTCAGCAGGAGGGCAGGGGTCAAGGGGGTCCCAGGGGACAAGAGAACACAGCCAAATCAGAACCACATTTCTTTCAGGAAAATACTGACTAAATATGTTTGAAAGGGTCTTAATGAATAAGCCAAACCCTTGAAAAAGAAGATATGAACATCCCCAGAAAAGTTTAAAGCGGTAAAGCCACTGGAAAAATGTTCAAGTTTCACTAGTTCAGGTGTGAGGTCATAGAGTAAAAGGGTAAGATGAAAATACTGATATGGAGAGCTGGTGGAGTGGTGCGGCGCCTGCCTAGCAAGCATGAGGCCCTGAGTTCAAACCCCAGTGCTGCCAAATATAAAAAAATAAAGTTCCAATATTGATATGGGAATAACTTGGTAAATTTGGCTTTGTAGTCAATCAGTTGACCAATTAATTTCTGTAGTGGCTTGAATCAATACTGGAGAATTCTACATCTGCACATAAGGCGTGATTTACACAGCATGACTGACAAAGATGTTGGTGTTAGTCAGAAAAGCTAAAATGGCACTGAAGATCTTCTTTGAAAAGGACTGATGAGATTTTTTCCCCTAGCATTATGCACAAACCAAATTCTGTGCTATACAAATAAAATTGGCCTTCAGCTGCAGAAAACTTTTTAAATATCCTGATATTCAACAACAGCCAACTGCATCCAAACATTCCAGGCATAATAAATTAAGTTCCATTATTTCATTAAGAGACACACTTACGGGAGGTGGGGGAGGGTGGCCCAAACAATGCAGACAGGTGAGAAAATGTAAGAACGATAAAATAAAAAAAAGAGGGACTTTGCAACTCCAAGGACAATATATGAATCCAAATGCTCCAAAAAATGAGCCTAAATATACGTGTGTGTGTATCTAGATTAACAAATACATAAAAATAAAATTTTGCTCCTTTCAAAATATACAAAAAGAAACACTTCTAACTTGTTTCCCAATGCATACACTATGAATTACCTGAAAATGACTAGATACTCTCAAATTATGCTGTGCTAAAGAAAATCTTGTAATTATCAAAAATGCTAATCTTGTTTTCAGAAGCTATGTTTGAGTTCCTTCCAAGTGGCTAACCTAAGAAGTCTGTGTCCTTTCTGTTTTCTTCTATCCAGACGGTGTGGAGAGAAACGCAGGAGATATACTGCTTCCTGCCCCAAGTTCACGTGCAGTTTGGTTCACATTAGGTCATCCTTCATTGAGACTTCATGTAACAGCATGCCATCCGTCACACGCCCACACTCTCAGATCCTTCTCCATGAAGTCCAACTTGTTCTAAATCACCCCTCCGTCCCCCACTCCAGCTGCCACCATCCCTAGTCATCTAGGGAAGGCATCATATGACAGAGAGCTCAGTCCTGGAGACCACCGAGGTACTCTGCACCCAGTACTGGAACTTCGGAGCAAAGGGCTCTTTGACACATAGCCAAGTGACCCAGTTATCCATGACAGGACACTCTAGTCTAAAAAGGACTTGGGCAGTTTTCCATTAACTTACAAGAAAAGATGTAGTAACTACTGACATTTTCATCCCTCTCCAAACGTAAGGGTACACAGGAGACAAGGGCTCTGAAGACACAGAAGGAGAGAATGAGTTACGAGAGGGTTTCAGTACTGCTAAGCAGGCAGCAGAGGCGTGGATGAGGCCTGGCTTGCAGCAGTCTAATCACAAATGAATTGCTGCCACCAGGACGAGCTGCACGGCCCCAGCTTCAGCTCCCGGCAGCCTCTGGGCCGGATGACGTCTGGCCAGCGGATGGCATCGCTCCCAATCTCCCCAAGGCGTCATGTCATATGCTCCATGGTAATGGCAACAAACCAGAGGGTTTCCAAAATTAGCACTTGCTCCTTGAGCCAGGAAGAGGAGCCATCCTGGCCATTCTGACCATTTGGACTTCAAACGTGTTCTGGGAATGCATTAGAGGGTGGAAAGGACTGGGTTCTTGAGACAGAGACCTCGGTCCTAGCAGCTAAGTCTCCTGGGCCCCAGAGCTAAGTCTGTGCCTCTGCCCCTGCCCTCCACCCCCCACCCCCAGCCACTTCCTCTTTTCTGTGTTAAAATGAAATGAATACAAGCAGTGTTCATGCAAACCAGGCCAGGGCTGAGGGCTCTGTGTTAGATGTCACCAGTGAGGTGGAAATTAGGCGGACAGTCACTCTGTTTGGGACCTGAGACCAGTGGAGGAAGCTGGACCCCTGCTCATCCAGGACACAAGTGACTGCAGACTGGAGTGCAGTGGTCACACTTCCAAAAACTCTCCTCCACAGTCTCACACCTTTTCTTTGCTAAACTGAATTGAGTCAGTTAAATTATAAGTAACTGTGCTGTTAGGCACAAATTCAACTCTAGGGGGCAGGCTGTCACGACACTGGGCAGACTGACAGGGCTAGTTACGGGGCCGTACAGATTCAAATAAATCAGGTCGCCAGCCCCACGCAGGACACATCTGTGCTTTCCAAGGCCAAAGTCTGAGGAGTGAAAATAACACTTCTCTTATTTAACTCTCAAGAGCGAATCCCACTCTGTGTTCTGGTAATATAACTGGTACCTTTAAGAGTTGGCCTGCTTCACTGTAGAAAGGCAGAACAGAGAGGCTGTAATATGTCAGAGACATACGCCATGGGAAGAGTTAGGGAGGAAGAGCACAAGCACACAAGCTGCCTCTAATCCTATCTGGGATGCTGGCAGAGTCTGCCCAATGAGAACAGAAAAGGTAACATTGCTGCCACAAAAAGCCAGACACACTCATTTCTGTGGCCCAAGATGTTCGAGGAGGACTTTGGATAATGAAATATGAGGAGTGAAAGGTCCTTTGTTTTCTGCTCACTCAGGAATGTCTGTGCCAGAGAGAGATCAGAGAGACAAGCCCAGCTCATAACGGGCTTCGCTGCTCACGGCTGCGTCTCTGGATCAAGCTGACAGCTAGGCCTCCGTTCAAGAAATCTGAATCATCTTTAGTTCAACGCAAATGAGTCAGAGGCTGCAGAACCTGTCCCAGGCCTCTGGGGAGGCCAGCACCTCGGCGAGGCTAGACTGGTTGCTGTCTGAGAAACACAGCAGACACTGTGCTGAACGACAATGGTGACGGCTGTGGCTGATGTCCACTGAGCCTTGTGTTTTTGAGCTCACTCCATGCTCCTGACCACCCCCTGAGGCAGCAGGTACTAACTTCCTCCCCAGTTTACACAAGGGGGAACCAAGGCACAGAGTGACAAGTAGCAGAATGACAGAACAAGGACATATCCCTGCTTTTCTGGCTTCAGAGAGTGCTCTTAACACCATGCTGACTCTCAACCAAAGTGACGAACAACCTTCCCTTTACTGAGCACTGGGTGCAGGCCAGACCCCCTTCTAACCCTTCACACTCACGATAACCCAGGAAGTCATGGAAGCAGAGTTGCTTAGCACCTGGTCCAAGGTGGATGTGAACAGAGACCGTCCACTTCCAGAGCCCCTACTCTTCACCGTGACACCATGCTGCTCTCTGCGCCCTGCAACCATGGAGAGTCTGCTCACCCCTCTGTGCAGGTGAAGCAAAGCAACTCAGAGGGCAGAACGAGACCGAGGTGGGTCTGTGCACCGTCTGTGTGCCTTGCTGTCTGTTCCTGACCTTCATATGCACGATGTACCAGAGCGCCAGACACCCCGGAAACAACGGGCACCCACAGAGCAGCTGAGTGCCCTCTGGGTGACTCCATGTATACACCAAGGCCTCTTCTAACTGCAGCCCAGAGAGAGGTTTTTCTTAGAGGACGCAACTGTTTTTTTTTTTTCCCTCGGGAAGGCAAAGAAGCACCTTTGTCTTCTCGAGGCGAAGCCCAGCGCCCTGCCCTCCCCGACCCCAGCAGCAAAGCCATGTGCACTTACGCTTTGAACGCCGGGAGGTAGGAATATACAGAAACGCTGCTCAGGTTATAAATAAAGGGAAGGTGTTTCCTGATGTCTGTGGTTGCCCAGCTGCTAAAAAATGTGTTCAGTAAGCCCTGGTCCCCACCTGGAAGAAAAAACAAGGAATCATAGTTAACAGACCTCTAAGACAGTGATTGGATAGGAGTTATAAACTAGACCTTTTAAAAATGTGCTAATTCTGTTTTAAAGTAATAAATTCCATGTCATACCTATTGAGGACATGTTTTTGGGGTGGACATTTCCCTAATTCATAAATTCAACAAATACTTAATAAGCAGCAGCTCTATGCCAGACACTGCACCAGGCGCTGTTGAGTCAATAGAGAGCAATGGCGGATGGAGGGAGGGATGGAGAGATGGCAGCTGGCGTTCCAGGCAGATCACCAACAGCACACAACACCAGCCTGGGGTGGGCAGAACAGGAGCTATGGAGAGACGAGGAAAGTGGCTGGTGTTGAGTGGCCTCCAGAAAAGGAATGAATTCATGGCAGCTGGGTCTCTCAGAGGCATAGCAGAAAGCAGACCACACTGAAGTCAGGTTCTAGGCTTTATCCTCAGAGATTTAGCCTTGTCCCTAAAAGCAACAGGACAGAAAAAGAAGTGCAAAGCGAAAGATAGCAAATGGGAGTAACGGAGCTGTCTTCTGGGCCTCCAACTGTAGGCTTGTTGGCAGAGGGACCAGCAAGCCACATCACAGGTGGGAGTGGTGGTGTCAGCCGTCACCATGGCCAACTCTGGCCACAGTCACACGGCAAAGTCCCTGCTGAGCCCCTGGGGTTCTTCATGCCTTGGGGACTTCATGCCATCCTTGGGAAGTGAGAAGCACGGCCCCCCGTTCATAAGGAAGTCAAGATGGAGACAGTTAAGCACGTGACTTAAATCCTAATGCTGTAAGGAACCAGCCAGATCACCCCGCCACCTCAAAACACCCTCCTCCTCACACTCCATGAGCTTCTACTTAGACTCACAAGATCTCAGATAACGTGACGAGCATCCGGGTCCCCCATGTTGCAGAGTCACAGCTCAGGATTGGGGTGCATAGGGGGAACCTGTCCTTCCCAGTGGTGAGGCTGGCAGGCCTCACTCACGTAGCACCGCCAGTCTGCCCTGTGGCAGCTCCCGTCTGCAGCGAGGGTAACAGGCTGGCAACACTACTCAGTTTCTTCTGGATTTGACATCAAAACCATGCAGATTTATTGAACTTGTAAAGTGGTAAGATCAGAGTGTGCCTGTGCACTCTGTGTGTCTCAGCCCCTCCAGGCGCCTCCGTCAGCTCTGAGGATGACAGGTCTTCACTGAGTGAGTGTCTACGGAGAAGCCTCTGGGGACAGGGACCCTCCAACACATCCTGTTCTGTGAGGGCCAGGCAACTCAACAGAAAACCAGAAACGGAACAGAGGTGCCTCACCGTTACGAAGACGCAGCAGACTGCTTATTTCTGTCCCCCAAAATTTCCACATTGAAGTCCTATCCCTCAAGGTGAGCTGAGCCAGTGCCCCAATAAAAGGGGTCCAAGGGAGGTTCCTCACCCCACCAGCTATGCCTGATGACTGCTGTGAGCCAGGAGGTAGGCCCCGTGCAAACACTGACTCTTCAGCACCTTGAGCTTGGGCTTCCCAGCCTCCAGAACAGAAATGAATTCCTGCTGTTGATAACCCCAGCGGACCGGGCAGTAGAAGTGTGGGCGTGAGAACCAAGGTGAGTCTGCCTCTGTAGACAAACTGCTGTGGTCTGAGGCACGAGGCAGTGAAGCCCAAATGCCTCGCTGCCCGTCACAGCCTTACTCTGGATTCCATGGAGATACCACAAATGTGGGAGTGCACACGCTGATGACCAAGGCACAGAGTCTGAAGCCTTGCTGGCTTCCTCGCTCGTCCACATATGAATCAAAGTAAAGCTGAGGACATGCTCGCAGCAGCTTTGTTAACTTTTTTTTGTGGTACTGGGATTTGAACTCAGGGCTGAGCAGGTGCTCTACCACTTGAGCCACACCCCCAGTCCTTTTTTGCTTTAGCTGTTTTTCAGGTAGGGTCTCATGTTTCTGCCAGGGGCTGGCCTCAGATCATGATCCTCTTACCTATACCTCCCATGTAGTTGGGATAACAGGCTATCTGCTACTACACCTGGCTTATCAGTCGAGATGGGGTCTCACTAACTCTTTGCCCAGGCTGGCCCGAACCTTGATCCTTCTGATCTCTACCTCCCAAGTTGCTAGGATAACAACTGAGCCACCATGCCTGGTCCTCAGCTTTATTTATAATAGTGGAAAACTGGAGATAGTCCCAATATCCTTCAACAGGTATATGAACACATTCACACACATTCATACAATAGAATAGTACTCAGCAATAACAGGAACAAATACCGACACACAGAACTTGCATGGAGCTAAAGGGAGTAGTACTGAGTGAAAAACTCTAGTTTCATCTTGCGTGACTTCTTGTATGTAACACCCTTCACGTGATAAAAGTACAGAGATCAAGCCAGGCACCAGTGGCTCATGCCTGTAATCCTAGCTACTTGGGAAGCAGAGATCAAGAGGATTGAGGTTCAAAGCCAGCTCTGAGCAAACAGTTCTTGAGACTCCACCTCGAAAAAAACCAACATAAAACAGAGCTGGTGGTGTGGCTCAAGTGGTAGAGTGCCTGCTTAGCAAGCGTGAGGCCTCGAGCTCAAGCCCCAGTACTGCCCCCCCTTAAAAAAAGGGCTAGAAAACAGACTCGGACTTGTCATTGCCAGAGACTAGGGAGGGCGGAGGACAGGTAGCCATGGCTGTACAAGGGCACCACAAGGGACCTCGCTAGGAACTGCTCTGCATCTTCATTTTGGTTGTGGTCATGTGTAACAAAATGGCACAGTAAACACACATGCACAAACATACGAATACATGTGTGTGGAGCTGGGGCAATTGGGTAAGGTTGGTGGATCACGTCAACGTCGAATTCCTAGTTGTGGTTTTAGGTTACGGCCATGCCAGATAACTGCAACCGGGGGAAGCTGGTGCAGGGTACACGGGATCTCTGCATTATTTCCTACAACAGAATGCAAATCTGCAATTTGCTCTAACTAAACTATTTAAAAAGTCCATGAACGAACGTGGTTAAAATGCAAAGAATGATCAGGAACTGTGATTCATTACACTCTAAATTCCATGAACAGAGATTACAGCTCTTTTGCTTAGCATTACAATTCTAGCATATAACAAATGCCTTCAAACAGGCAAATTATTTGTGCAATGAATGCAGGTGCTGTGAAGATCCTGGGGAAGAGCAGAGAAGGCGAAACGGACACCCACCGCAGAGCGACGGTCAGCATGCTGTGCAATTAACTGCATGGGAATATTACTAAGCCATTAAAAGTGGCACACTCAAAGGCCATCAGTTTCCTGGGCAACATCAACACACGCAGCTGCAGGCTGGTGATGGGAACTGAGGACACAGCACACTGAACACTCACAAAGGAAGAGAAAATGAAACAGCAGCAATGTGTTAGGGGATTGGAGGTACAGATCCCCCCCCCCACTTTCCTGGTATTACTTTGCTAATTTTATAATTTTAATACAAGGGGTAAAAATGAGAACTAAGGCCTTTCTTTTCAGCATGACCGTTATTACACTGTCAAGGAATGCATGTAGATTATACAGCGTTACACGTTCAACACCAAATTCAAGAACCTGAATGCTACCAGTTCCGGTCTCTGGGCTGGGCGAGGGCTCCCAGAGCAACCCCACCGGCTCCCCTCTACCCCAGGTGAACTGTTACCCGAATTTTGTTAGCAATATCTCCCTTTCCTTCATTTTACTGCATTTTCTTGTAATCCCAGACAGCATACGCAGTTTCTCTTGCTCTGAACTTTGTAAAACTGGATATCATATGCTTTTGCTACTTTTTTGAGACAAGGTCTTCCTATGTTGCTTAGGCTGGCCTCGAACTCAAAATCCTTCTGCCTTGGCCACCCCCCACCAAGTGCCACCACCCCTGGCTCCTAGCACTTTTATTATGGCACAATATAAGACTATTTAAAATGAAACAATCCCACTTACAATGACTACTGGGTGACATAGTGAAGAAATCTCACTGCAGGGAGGCCTGACTGAGTAGGTCTAACTTGTGTACGCCTGGGAAACAGGAGTCAGAGCTGCTGACCCCATCACTTCTGGCCCCAAAAGCTGTTTCTGGTCACTCTCAGGTCCCCTGCAAACCCCAGCCCCTCAGCTTTGCCACAGGAAGGCTGAGATGCCATGGAAGAATGGGAAACCAGCCAGAAGGAGAAGAGACTGCAAGATGGTGTTGGGGAGTCAGCAAACCCTGAAACGCTCAGCAAGGGAACCTCCCGTCCAGTGGGGATGACACAGGTCAGGAGCCCCCATGGCCACTCCTCCCATTCCGGGACTCAGGGGGTTTCGTTTTAGCCCTAAACTCTAGGTTAAAATAGGATTTAGTACCATCTAACAGTCTGTGGCCTCTTAGATCATTCTTTAATGTGCAGTTTAAAGATACTAACCATCATCCACACACACAGCTCAACATTTCACAGTCAGAAAAGCATTTCAGGTTCTGTGCCTGGTGTCAGCTATATCCTCTGTTTTCAGAGGTCTCCAAATAAGATGGTAATTCACAGCAGAATGCAGCCCTGAGCACATGGGTGTTACCAAACACACAGACATGCCGTGAGAGCCGATGAATTTCCACCCCAGCAATCCTAGGATTTTCACCCAGTCCTTTCTAGTTAGACGCTGGAAGGCTGTGTTATTGAATTTGACAGGTTAAGGCCCATTTAATCTCAATCATCTCAGAAGTGACAAAGGTGATCACGCCCATCCTGAGCAGCTGTGACCCAGCAGGCTGGGGTGTGGCTGCACAGGTGATTCAGGAAGAAAAGAAAGGAACAAGGTGCACTCAGCGCCTGTTTTGCAAACAGAAGCAAATGTCTGAGTCAGCCATCCTTCTGCCAGGCTGCCCCATTGCTGGGAGGACCTCTGACCACATGGCATCTTCTAAGTCTTCAGAACAGGTTCGTGAGCACGGACACGAAGTGTTCAGAAGCGGTGTCTAGTCGTCTTGTAAGACAGTCATGCTGCTGAGTG